AGTGGGAGTTTCCAGATCCAGATCCATGACCCATAGACTGAGAGCCGCCGAAGCCACCTCCCATTGAGTGGGAGCTTCCAGATCCAGATCCATGACCCATGGACTGAGAGCCACAGCCTCCATGACCCTGGGGTCTGAAGCCGCCGGAGCCACCTCCCATTGAGTGGGAGCTTCCAAATCCAGATCCATGACCTTGGGGTCTGAAGCCGCCGGAGCCACCTCCCATTGAGTGGGAGCTTCCAGATCCAGATCCTTGACCCATAGACTGAGAGCCACTAGAGCCACATCCCATTGAGTGGGAGTTTCCAAATCCAGATCCACGACCCATAGACTGAGAGCCACCGAAGCCACCTCCCATTGAGTGGGAGCTTCCAGATCCAGATCCATGACCCTGGGGTCTGAAGCCGCCAGAGCCACCTCCCATTGAGTGGGAGCTTCCAGATCCAGATCCTTGACCCATGGACTGAGAGCCACAGCCTCCATGACCCTGGGGTCTGAAGCCGCTGGAGCCACCTCCCATTGAGTGGGAGCTTCCAGATCCAGATCCATGACCCTGGGGTCTGAAGCCGCCGGAGCCACCTCCCATTGAGTGGGAGCTTCCAGATCCAAATCCTTGACCCATGGACTGAGAGCCACTAGAGCCACATCCCATTGAGTGGGAGTTTCCAGATCCAGATCCACGACCCATGGACTGAGAGCCACAGCCTCCATGACCCTGGGGTCTGAAGCCGCTGGAGCCACCTCCCATTGAGTGGGAGCTTCCAGATCCAGATCCATGACCCTGGGGTCTGAAGCCGCCGGAGCCACCTCCCATTGAGTGGGAGCTTCCAGATCCAAATCCTTGACCCATGGACTGAGAGCCACTAGAGCCACATCCCATTGAGTGGGAGTTTCCAGATCCAGATCCATGACCCATAGACTGAGAGCCGCCGAAGCCACCTCCCATTGAGTGGGAGCTTCCAGATCCAGATCCATGACCCATGGACTGAGAGCCACAGCCTCCATGACCCTGGGGTCTGAAGCCGCCGGAGCCACCTCCCATTGAGTGGGAGCTTCCAAATCCAGATCCATGACCTTGGGGTCTGAAGCCGCCGGAGCCACCTCCCATTGAGTGGGAGCTTCCAGATCCAGATCCTTGACCCATAGACTGAGAGCCACTAGAGCCACATCCCATTGAGTGGGAGTTTCCAAATCCAGATCCACGACCCATAGACTGAGAGCCACTGAAGCCACCTCCCATTGAGTGGGAGCTTCCAGATCCAGATCCATGACCCTGGGGTCTGAAGCTGCCAGAGCCACCTCCCATTGAGTGGGAGCTTCCAGATCCAGATCCTTGACCCATGGACTGAGAGCCACAGCCTCCATGACCCTGGGGTCTGAAGCCGCCGGAGCCACCTCCCATTGAGTGGGAGCTTCCAGATCCAGATCCATGACCCTGGGGTCTGAAGCTGCCGGAGCCACCTCCCATCGAGTGGGAACTTCCAGATCCAGATCCATGACCCATAGACTGCGAGCCACTAGAACCACAGCCCATTGAGTGGGAGCTTCCAGATCCATAGCCCTGGGAGCCACTGCTCCTAGACCCACTGCCTATGGGTCCAGCGGAGGGTCTGGAGCGTGAGCAGGACATTCCACCAGTGCTGGAGTGCATGGAAGACCTTGGGATGCCGCCGGAGCTGGAAGAATTGGGGCTAGTCTTGAAGACCAGGTTGCTGGGGGCAGAAGAGCCAGAGGAGGAGGCTGGGTGGCTCCGACAGCCTGCAGGATTGCTGGAGAAGTTTCCAGAGAAAAGTTTCCAGCTGCTGTTTTTGGACATGTTCACAGAAGACGTGAGCTCAGCTGCGTGGCAGTGAGAAGACGCTTCAATGGCATGATGTGCAGTCCATGTTGTATATATACCCCTAGACTTGGATGTGTCACTGGTCTGAGGCTTCCTCCTCCTTGCTCACCATTTTATACAAGAATACGTGTCTAATTTATTGCTTACATTGATTTTCCACATCTTCACATCCTTAATTGTACTTTAATCATTCTGATACAAATGGGTAGAAGCAACTCAAATTCTTTTCCCAGCGATTCTCTGGATTTGACCTTAAAAGTTAGGTCATCACTTTTCCAAATGTTCTCTCCTGTATTGTCTGTGTGTGCAGTCAGTTCTTGACATATCACATGGAATTCAGCTACTTTTCTTCCTGCCTTAAAGTTATTGGGGTCCTGGAGTCTTAGTACTCAAGGTAGTTTTTTTCTACATAGGCATTTTTAATGGGTTTCACCAAATGGTTTCTACCTTCAGTCTTCTCACTCTTCTATCAGCTGGATCTTTTAGTCTTTTCCTATTTGCATTAATCCATGTAATTCTTTTTTTTTTTAATTTTTTCTTTCTTTTTTAAAAAAGATTTATTTATTTATACAAGAACCAGTGTACAGGACAGATGTGTGGAAGGGTGAGAGGATTCACCAGAGACAGAGCAGGGAACAGAACAGGCAGACTGACTAAATATGCTGCTGAGGGGAGCAGCGGGCGAGACAGGAGAGGTCTGCTTGCCATGTGGGACCCTCGCCGGCTGGCCAGGATCGAACCATCACTGCAGAGGGTACAGACAGCTTCAGAGCACTGCGCTCAACTGCCTGCGCCACCAGGGGAGGCCCAATCCATGTAATTCTTAATGTCCATTCATTTAGCTTAAACTATAGATTTATTGACAAAGCATGCAGCAGACCTGTTCTGCTATAAGCTTGGCTTTCTCCTGTCTTGATTTCTTGATTACAATTAAGGGGTACAGTCAGCGAACCCTCCTAAAGGGAAAGGAAATCTAGTTGGTTTTCCTGACAATACTCATTTAGGAAACAATAAATACAATCCTTTCAGTGAGACTTTATGTAGAACTGAGTTTTTCGATATGTTTTCTACAAGCTTCTCTTGCAGTAGGACTTATTCTCTGCTCTAATGGAAACTCTCGATTTTTGTTTGTTTTGCTTTGCTTTTTGATGGAAAGAAAGATTCTTGGTTACAATGATTTAGCCCAAGACTAATGTTTCAGGAATTATTAACATTTTAATGTTTCAGGAATTATTAACAATTATTAACATAGTGCAACAACTAACTGAAGTACCAGAGCTTTGCTTGTGTTTAATATCTTCTGGTCAACTCACATCTAGAAAAAACGTTTCGAAGGTATCAACAAAGGCCTTCTAATTATTCAGTAAGATAAAAGCAAAAATGAAGCTTGAACCATGGTCTGTTTATGCAGATTGGCAATTAAAATATTCTAAAGATAAAAGCAAACTCAACTTTAAGTCATATCAGAGAAGAATCAATTATGTTTATTTATATTAAGATAAAATTCTAATAAAGCCTTAGAATATTTGCACTATATAGTGTTAATGGTAGGATTTCGTGCATCACTGATCTTTATATATTTAAAGAATATTGTATTATTTAAAGAATATTGTATTTTCTAATCTGAGAAAGGGGAAAAACAATTTGGATAATCCATACTTGAGATAGAGGAAGAGGAGTAGGTGCAGGTAGAGGTGAAGACAGAGGCGGATTAAAAAAAGAAAAGGAAAACTTCCTTCTAACTGGTTTGTGGCTATTCATCTTTTGAATCTGACATTTTATTTGGTTTAACTAAGGGAAAGAGCATTCACAATTGTCATTGAAAAGAGAGCTCCTTAACTACCTGAAAATTAACTTGCTTTATTTCAGAGCACACGGCTTTAGAGCACTTAGTTGTTTTGTTTTATGATTATCTCTCTCATGCAGAATCCAAAGTGTGCATTCATCATATAGAGTGCCCTTGTGTAATTATAGTTAAACCATCGCTCTGAATCATTGAAGTAAAATAAGCTATGCTTTATGAATAGACACCTATTAAATATATTAAGAAGTCTGTGCCACTGACAACTCATAGGATTCCTTATGCCAGCTTTTAACTGCTTTAGAATAGAAAATACTTCTCTCTTCCTACTTAAAAGTTGATTCTGCTTAAAAAAAAAAAAAACTTTCTAATATCCAGAAGTTCTTACTTTTCCAGACCAGCTGCCTTTGTCTGATAATTAACATTAAAATAACTTGGGAATAAGTTAAATCCATTTAAGACTCCCCACCCATTCCTAATTAGGTTAACACTTTTCATTAGTCATTTGTGCCCTTTATATAAATGCTAATGAATAACTAGTAAATGCTAATAAATGTATCCCTCTGAAAAGAAGAAAAAGAAAAACAAAACTAGGGTAGCTCTGTTAATTTAGAGTGGATCCTAAAACTAATAAAATACTCAGTGTGCTCTCTGTAACACACAAAGTGCACTATTATGTGCTGTAGAGAAAAGAAAATCACTATCTGGACAAGTTAGAGGGAAAAATGCAATATTGGAAGATCTTTTTTTTAATGAAATGAGGAATACCAATACTACTAGAATAAAACAGCTTGCCCACCTGTCACGTGGTTTATGACGTGAATTACTTGAGTAGTGATGGTATTTCCAGCTCACCCTATAAATGGTTCAAGTTTTAAACTGACAATCTTTTGTAGTGTTTCATAGACGACTGGATGGATACTTTTCAAACTGAGCAAGTATTAGGCAGTAGGGGAAATAGTGAAAGCCACATGATCCATTATATATTTTCTTTATACTTTTCATATTCCTCTTATGTCCTAAAGACTGCTTTCTCTAGTCCTACAATTTGAGATAAGGATTTATTTATTTAATTTGGGGGGGGCATATAGATGTCAATTTGTTATGGGCCCTAGTTGTACTACAGGGCAAGACTCATGAAGCTTTGGAAAATGTGGCCTTTTTCCCCACTGGTACCAAAGGCTGCAGCATCTGGGCCTTCCCAGCCTGGGGGGCCAACAGATTGAAAAGACTAAGGTGTATAGTTCAGGCAGGAAGTATCAATGCAGGGCTGGGGAGATTCTGAAAAGACAGGAAAGCACAGGAGTAAGCCCCGGAGGCATGCATTTTTCCAGATCTCTCTCTTCAATGGTTCAGATGTGAAGATGTGGAGAGGCCCAGGCTGCAGACACTGTTCTTGGCCACCAAAGAAAGAAGCAGCTTCCAGGGAGACGCCTCCAGCAGTCGACCTCTGAAGAAAAGCCAAGGAGATTTGCAGGGGACCAGGCTGCTGAATCTGCCTACAGTCTTGTTGTCTTCTGGAGGCAGAGAGAGAGCAAAGGCCCCCGGCCTAGCATCACCCTGAGCTGTTGCTGGTGGTGTGAGCTAAAAGCTCATGAAGAGCTGATTATCCACCATCATCTCCATTGCTGTCTGTTCCAGCATCCAGTGCTGTTCCTCCCGACCTCTGGGCTGCTGCATCATTTTACCTGCCCTGGCTGTGAGCCCCTCCGGCTGTGCTGCCACCATGAGTTGGCTCACGGTCACCACTTACCAGCTGTCACGCCAACAGGTGATCGTTTGCTGGCCGATTTCATCTTGGAGGGGCGACCTTTTTTTGGAACTTCTGAACACTGGATTTGAAGGTGAGAGAGCCAGCCACTTGTGGCCTTAGTAACTTTTTGTTTCCCCTGTTTGCTAAATAAACCCCCTTATTGTTCCCTAAACTGGAGTGGCCTTGCAATTGTGTGCACAGGTGAAGAACTCACAGGCAGTGAACTGTTCTCTGCTGGACTCTGTCCTTGGGGGGCTTTAGTACCGGTAGAGCCCAGCATCAAAGTCACCTAGGACCATTTGTTGAAAAGACTATTCTTTCCCACTGAATCACCATGAATCACCACTTTGTCAAAAGTCTGTGAATCATGTGTGTACAGACCTATTTCGGGAGTCACTCTTCTGTCTTCTTAATGTATATGTCTATCCTAGAAGAAAACCATAGTGTCTTCATTACTAGAGTTTTACATAAGCCTTGAAATCACATTGTAAATGGTCAAGGTTGATTCTTTATTTTCAAAATATTTGCCTACCTGAATTCGTTCGTAGTTCCTTCTAAGTTTTAGAATGAGTCTGCTAATTTCTACCAAAAAAAAAAAAAAAAAAAAAAACACCAAAAAAACAGCCCACAAAACTTAAGATAGCTTTGATTGGGATTATCTCAAATTTATATTTAATTTGTGGAGAAATAGCATTTAATTGTGTTGTATCTTCTGATCCCTGAGTATGATCTGTCTCTTCATTGATAGACGCTCTCTTGAATGATTCTCAACACTATATTGTAGGTCACACTATACAAATCCTGCTCTCTTATTAGATTTATAGCTGAGCATGTTGTATTTCAAATAATCATTAAAAACTTTCAATTTATCATTTTTATGTAGAATGACTTTTCCTATATATAGTTTATATCTTGTCACACTCTGCATTAATTTATTAATCTTAGTAGATGTCTATAACTTACTTTACATGTGCTGCATAGACTTGCATGTTATTTACAATAATGACATTCTTTCTTCCTTTAGAATGTGACTCTTCTTTGGGCCTTATTGTCTGGAGTGTAGCCCCAGGACAATGCAGAATGGAGGTGGTCAAATCCGAAAGCATTGCCTTGCAGCTGGTCTCCGAGGGAGGGAGGAGCTTTCAATTTGTGCTAACTGTGCTGCCTGCACTGCCTGCAGGGTTTGCACAGCCTCCTTAGCAAGTTGAAGAAGTCTCTGCAGACCTTGCTGGACACTTACCATCAGTGCGTGCTTGCCGAATTTTCCCACATCCTTTTTCTGCCCATTTATTGAGGTGATTGCATAGTGTTCAACCCTGTTGGTATAATAAATTGCACTGGGTGATTTTGAATATTAAACCAACTTTATATTCCTGGGAAAAACATCCTTGATCATGATGTATTATATTTTAATAAGATTACTGGATTCATTTACTGACTTTCTCCAAGGAGTTTTATGACTGTTTATAAGGAATATTTGTTTATTTCCTCTCAGAGTGAGAATGCCTTATAAAATTAGTCAAGACGTGCTTATACATCTCTTTTCTGAAATATTTTATGTAGATTTGATTTTTTTTCAAATGGTTGAATAATTTTCCAGTTGGGGCTCTGTCAGTATGGAATTTTCTTTGTTGGCAGATTTTTAACTATTTAATTTCTCTTATAGATATACATAGATTTATATATAGATATATATTTAATTTTATGTATTTAATTTTATATACAGATATAGATTTAATTTCTCTTATATATGTATAACTATCCAGAATAGCTAGTTATTCTTGATTATTACTTTGTATCAGTCAGGGAATTTTCCCATGATATCTATATCTATTTGAATTCAGTCTGATACAGCAATGGAGGGTTTGTCTCTCTGACAAGCTCTTTCATTTTCTTTATTTACCCTCTAGGCTTCCCAAACTTTTGTTTATTTGCATTCTGAGGGAAAAGAGCTTCACTAGAAAGATCACATCTGAACTGCTGACCACCAGGTGATGAGAAAGCAAGCTGGGATTAACCAAAGTCTCCAAAGGTTGGTGCTGCATAGACAGACATGCTTGTCCTTGAGCACTACCCCTTCACCCCCTGTAACTGCATAAATACCCCTGAGCTCTGCCAAAGAGCAGGGCGGTGATCTTTTGGACACGAGTCTGCTGCCCTCCTCAATTTGTCAACAAATTAAATTACTTTCTTTCTTCTCAAACTCTTTTTCCTTTAATTGGCCAAGGGAACAGAGACTTGCCTTCAGTATCAAGTCCAGCAGCAGTGGCCCATGTGAATCTCTCTGGGGATAACAATGGCAGAAATAGTGACCACCTGTCTCACAGCCACAGGGACAGGAAGTGTCCTGGCGTGGGCTACTCTGGCCAGAAAGCAAGGCGAGTGCAATAATATTGATTGGAGCCAAAACTAAATCCTGAAGATATAGCACTAACAACCTCATATTTATTATTCCACCCTATTTGCTTTTGCTTTCATGTTAATTTCCATCATGATACCAATATATCTATTCTCTCTCAAATATTCATTCCAGCCAATTGTTACTGTTTTTCCTTATTAAAACTATTTTAAAGGAGCCAAGGTCTTTTGAATGTTATTAAAGTTGGCTGCCTGAGGACAGAAGGCATGCTACAGTTGACCAGATGCCCAGTTCTCTTCTCCCCATCATCTTTCAGGGATATACACAACTGCTCTGCTTTCTCCATTTTTCTCGGTACCTCATTTGCGATGTGTCACTAAGGTGGCAGGACCTGGTGATCAGTTTTCCTCTCGTATGTGAAGTGAAGGTCAATTCCTGGGTGCTGGTGGGATCATTTAATCAGTGGAGACTTGCAGAAGTCCTCAGTTTTCATCCGGCCTGTCATTTGATAACAGTGTTGATGCTTTTAAGAGGAATGGGAAATAGCCAGTATTTTTCTAATACTTAGTTCTCACCGCTTCACCTTGAAATATTTCAAAGGTCTGCACAGTGTAGGAAAAAATCTTAGGGCACCCGAAAGGGAGTTGGGTGTCATGCTCAACTTCTGTGTTCCTTGATTTTTTTTTGTTTGCCTGTTTTAATTCAGCACTGTAGACAAAACAGAAATAGAAACTAAGAATTGAGCAAAACACAGACACTTCAAAGCTGGATACTACTGAAAATACCAAGGAAACACAACTGTTGGAACCATGAATGCCATGTATTTCTTACATGACAGAGATGCAATTAGTGCATAGGGATGGAAAAAATATACTCAATTACTGTAGTAATTTCATATATCAATTTATTTTAGGCCCTTTCATAGCTGAGAGTCAGGATGAGATAGCTGCTGAATTGCAAATTTGCAAATTTCTGTGACTCTATGGTAAAAATCAAGTTCTCATAATTAAGTTTCATCATAAGCTTCCATATGACTGTTTTGTTGTTAAATTATTATTCCATGGCTGGCTGTGAGGGAAAAGGTATATTCCCTCCCTAGGGATACTCAAGCAAGATTCAAGAAGCACCTGATAGGTTTGGTTAGAGAGGATGCTGATAGCAAAAGTGAAGAAAATCATTGATCTGTTGAAGATCCTACTCACCAGAGTTCTTCAGAGAAAGCGATACAACAGCACATAGAGATTTATCTTAAAGATTGTCTCATGTGGTTATGGGGCTTGAGAATCTGAAATCTATAAAGAAACCAAGAGTCTGGAAATTCATCTGAGGTGGCATTCTGAAGTACAGGGCACAGCAGGCTGGAAATATGTGTAGAATTGCTATGTTGCAGCCTTAAGAATTCTTCAAGAAACCTCAGCCTTTTCTCAAGAGACCCTCAACTGATTGGATGAGGCTCACCCACATCACAAAAGGTAAAAATCTGCTTTATTTGAAATCATGACATCAACTAGATGGGTTTTTGACAAACAACTAGGCACCATAGGCTAGCAAATGGAAAAAAATAAAGTTAAATATTACAGCTGGTTATTAAGGCATTAAAGAGTAGCACTAAATAAGGCATCATCAAACTTCCAACACTATTAGCAAATAATTCTTCAACAAATATAATTGTCATGCTGCTAGCAACTCCTTATGTTCATTATTACCTTTATTTGTTCCAATAATGTTAATAATATTTAATGCAGAAATCTCATTCTCTTTGGGTCATCTCAGATTAAGTTATATTTAAAGTTACAAGTATATAACTTGATGGATTACAGGATTCCCTAATTCTACAGATGTTTCTTCAATGCTACATGAAGGATGGTTCTATAGCTAGAGATAGTGAGGAATAAAACAGTTAGGACCTGGGTTTTTTTTAAGTGAAGTAAGAAACTAAAAATGTAAACAAATAGACCTCTGTTATGCATTCAAATTTCAACATGTTTTTCAAACCACATAAGACATGGTAAAGTACTAAAAAGTGTTTTAGTGAGTGAGATGCTATTTTAAATAAGGCGGAGTAGAGATTTTGGAGACGGATGCATGAAATAAGAGAATGAGCCTTGAAAACTGCTGAGAGGAAAACACTTTGCAGAAAAGCTGCAGGAACCCTAAGCTGGAAATGAACTTGACTTCTTTGCAGGCCAGCAAGGAAACATGAGTGTTAAATCAGAGTAAACATAAGAGACACTGGGAAATAAGACTAAAGAATTGGCAAGGCCAGTCTAAGCAGGGAGTTTTAACATCATTTTTCAAAGTATAATTGGACAAAACTTATGCTGTCTCCCAAGTATGCATGTGTATATCCAAGATTTAAAAATAAAATTCCTGTCATATAAAGAAAAAAATCCCAATAACACTTGAAGGTAAAAGAAGTTCTCAGTATGTATTTTTAAAAGAGGAAGTGCTATATAAGGAAGACTTCAGTCTTATTGATATAAATAGGAAATCCTATATTGTGAAAAAATAAAGTATGTTTAAAAAATAAAAGAAAAAAATTTTGAAAAGAATTAACTTGGGCCTCCCCTGCTGGTGCAGTGGTTGAGCGCTGGGCTGCAAAGCTGCCCACAGCCTCTGCAGCGCCAGTTCGATCCCCTGGCCGCCGGCCAGGGTCCCACATGGTGCGACAGACCTCACCCTTCAGCACTTCTGACCGTACCCAGTACTTGTAGAAATAAATAAATAATATCTTAAAAAAAAAGAATTGACTTTTAACACTTCACAAATCGGTGATATAAAATATACACTAAATCTATGAATACTCTAGATTCATAATGATGAGGTCATATGTATTTATTTACCAAAAAGTATAAATTGAATTCCAATGATACTGAAATGTTTATTTAAATTATTTTGGGAACTATTGACTTTGAAACATGAGACTATGACTCTCTGCTACAGAAAGTCATGTTTGTTAAGATGTATTTATTCACTTAAAATTGTAAATATGTTTGTCATTTGCTGTGAGAATATGAATTTTCAATTATTATACTGGTGATTATTAATATCTTAACCATGACATCACTGAATGAGCTATTATTAACTCACTCAAGCAGTGTCAAATCCTTGAAGAGTTCTTTGGAACTAGAAACCTAAAAGCATTCCTAGTTCCTAAAAAAAAAAAAAATCATGTAAAATAAATTAATGAATCCAATGATTAATTTTGGAATATAATGCAGAATCTCATTTTTTTCTTCTAACATAAACACAATAGTGGGTAATATTTAATAAGCATTCTGTATGGGCCCTGCATTATGTTAAACAGTATACATGGTACATAAGTTCTCCTATTTATTTCACAGTGATTAATTCTAAAATAGTTTATATCCTCTTACAGATGAGCCACAGTGTGGCAGAAAGTAGGTGCAGCATAGCTTTATCTGAGAAAGAATACCTTAACCTTTGCAGGTAAGACAGGTAACAAAGGCTGTGAAGGTAGAGTGTTAGGACTGGAGGTGGAGAGAGAATGAAGAAATATTAGGAGAACAAAGTGAAAAATATTGAAATAATTTAGGTTAGAGTGTCTCAAGATTTGGTTTTAGCCTCAGTTATTCAAATTCTGTTGAAAATAATTTTGCTTAGATTATTGCCCATGAATAAATAATCCAAAACAGAAATATAATACCTAAGATCTGCTATAGCATCCTGCTACCAGGATTTCAGTGTTACCCAAAACATTCCATATCCCTTCAAAGGAAAAATACAAGCACTTCCACGCTGATTCTCACCTTTCAAGATTGTCTGGATCTTTTGTGAATATCTCCCTCTTCAGAGAGTTGAACTCGGGTCAAATTGTTGAGCTTAAAAATCCACCACAAACAATGATTCTTCCACGAAGCTTTCTCTAGCAGGTCCCAAACAAGATCCCCTGGGTGCAAATATATTAATCAACTTCACATGTTTCTATGAGTAGACTCTGAAAATTATTATTTAAAATCAATTCTGCATGCCATAGATTATAAACATACAAAGTCATAAAAAAAGACAAGTGTAGGATTAGTAAAAATCAAAAGCAAGCTCATGTAAGAGAAAACATAAATATACATAAATATAAGAAGTGTTTGAGAAAGTGGTGAGAAAGTTTAGTCCAAAGGTTTGCTTGGCTAAAGAAAGATTTCCTGAGTAAAGAAAGATCGACAAAGGGGCCTCCCTGGTGGCCTAGGGTTTAAGTCTCAGCACTACCACTGCTGTGGCCTAAATTCGATCCCCATCCAGGGAGCTAATCCACATATGGTGCAGCAGATCGCTCCTGTCTCACCTGCTGCTTCCCTTAGCAGTGTATTTCAGTAGAGCTGCCTGTTCTGTTCCCCACTCTATCTCTGGTGAATCCTCTCACTACCACCACCCCCCACCTCTGGAATATACCCCAGTTCTAGTATGCATCAATAAAAAAAATAAATCATTAAAGAAAAAAAAAGATCAACACAAAGAGATAAGAGTCACAGTAGTTAGGTAGGAAGGAAAGAAAGCAGAATGATCATATTTATTTTACACAATATGTATTTTACCTGTGCAAGCTAACAGAGTTCCAGGAACTACCTGTCATTATCATTCACATGTTCCAGATTTAGAAGCAGATGCACACAAAAGTACCTTAAGTGGGGTCACTTCTCATAGGAATGGGATTAGATTCAAGTCCCTTTCCAAATTCCAGCCCAACTTCCATTCTTTGCATTCATTCATTCATTCATTTATTCAGTAATTCTTTTCATTCATTTGCTTTCA